ACGGGTCGCGGAAGCACTTGGCGCACTGGACACATCTCCATCTGCGCCCATCCCACTTAAGGTCATGGGCGCGGGGTTGGCCAGAGGGGCGCGGGGCACGGGGGATTCGGTCAAGCTGGCCATGCAAATTCCGAGCAAAAGGCCACGCTCTCAGCATTACCCCCATGGCCGAGAGCACAGCGAAAGTCTTTTCTTTCAAAGTGGTCACAGATTCCAGATCGCTGGGCATGTGGAATATAGACGCACCTCCATTGGCTAAAATGTCGGCCCAAGAGTTCCCTCGAGTAACAAAAATATCCCTGGGGTCTGTGAGGCCTTCAAGGGTACCATGGGCTTTGACCTTGTGGACCAGGAAGGAGCCCTTGATGTCTTGCTTCAGGAAACGCCATATATCCCCCATAGTAGAACGACCATCCCAAGCACGCGATTCAGGTGCCCATCCTTTGACCAAGGCAGCACAATCCGCATACACAACTGCTGGAGGCTGACCCTCGGGGATCCTGCAGGCACAGTGGAACAAAGCGGCATGCTCTCCGCGTGACGCAGTCTGAGGACAGGCTGCTGGAACGTGTCCGAAAACACCTCTCACCAACTCGCCCGTGTCTGTCACCTCTGCAATCCCCCATCCTGCCCGAGCAAGCACAGTGGAGGTAGGGGGGAGACAAGAGCCGTCCACAAACAGCGGCCTGTCCTGGTCGAACATGAAGGGCTGGACCTGCTCCAGCTCAGCATTGACAAAAACTGGCGACTCTTCTGGGTCGATATCATACTCGACCGTGGGCCTGGCAATCCAACGCCTGCTGAAAAGAGGTGAGGTGGGGCCTGCGGCCAGGGCCTCCTGCACAAGCTCCTCCTTTACCTCATCCCTCCTGAGACGAGCCAGGAAACCATCTTCTCCTTCGCACTCCCAGCAACGATGCCAGACCGTGTCGAGCTTTCCACAATACACACAGACGGGGCTGATCGCATAACCCCAGTTATGCAGCTTGCTGGCAGTAGGATAACTATTGGTGAAAACTTGTCGAAGATTTTGCTTTTCAACATGGCTGAACTTCATATTGTTGAAGGCCTGTCTGATTGGTTCGCTCCAAAGTCCACGATCCCGAATAGCTTGGCCCTCGGGTCCCACAAAGTCGAGAGTGAGGCGCTCCATAGCATCAGACAGGTAAGCTTGGCGCAGGTCGTCGACGAAAAATCTGCCGACAAGAACAGGTGCAACAGACGTGAGCTCAACCACATCTCCGTTGCTGCGCAGAAAAAATAGCTGGTGTCCTGACCTGCCAGTTGGCCTCGTTGAACCACAAGATGAGATCATGTAGAGGTCCCAGTGAGCGCTGACCCCAAGTTTTCCTTTCAGAGCCCAAGAGATCCGAGACCGCCGCATTGAAGGCCTTGCTAAGGGTGCCAGGATCGAGCCCATCAGGAGGTCTGAGGTCGGAATCAGTCCAGAGCCACCACTCACGAGCATACCTGACCAGAGTAGCCGAGGCCTGCTTGAGGGGGTCCTTACTGGGCGCCAGGGACCAAGCGAGCTCCAAGTTGCAACTGGAGGACCACAGACCGAGGTGACGGGCCCCTTGGACACGGAGATCTTTGATACAAATCTCAGAACCATAAGCTACAGAAGGAACAATCCCACAGAAAAATATCTTAGCTTTCTTGCCCGCGGTCGAGGCGCGGAGGCTGGAGATCTTGGGTATTCGCTTTAGTGCTTTTCTCTGGCGTGAACGCTTGACCTTAAGGGCTCCCTTAGCCGTCCTCGGTCGGCGTCCGACCGCAAAATCAGCACCCCATCCTCCTCCTCCTCCTCCTCCTCCTCCTCCTCCTCCTCCTCCTCCTCCCCCCACCTGATCCTCATCAGCAGCAGCAGCAGCAGCATCATCATCATCATCATCATCATCATCATCATCATCATCATCATCATCAGCAGCAGCAGCAGCAGCCGCAGCGGCAGTCTCATCATCCTCAGCATTAGCAGCAGCATCATCCGCATCATCATCAGCAACAGCAGCATCATCAACATCATCACCATCATCAGCATCCTCATCAACAGCAGCAGCAGCAGCATCATTCTCATCAGCATCAGCATCGTCATCATCCTCATCAGCAGCAACACCATCAGCCTCATCCGTGCATCCTCATCATCATCAGCAGCAGCATCGGCAGCATCGTCGCCATCAACAGCAGCACATTCAGCGTCATTATCCTCAGCAGCATCATCTGCATCATCATCCACATCAGCATGCTCAGCAGCATCATCACCACCATCAGCATCAGCAACATCATCATACTCATCATCGTCACCAGTATCAGCAGCATGTAGTACTCATCCTCAGCATCATCAACGGCATCCGCCTCCTCGCCATCCTCATCATACGCATCAGCAGCATCAGCACCAGCAGCATCAGAATCAGCATCACCATCATCCTCAACAGCATCATCCCCGTAATCATCAGCATCGTCATCGTCGCCACCACCACCATTATCATCATCATCAGCATCAGCATGCTCGTAGTCACAATCCGTACCATCATCATCACCATCATCATCACCATCGCCACCAGCAGCATACTCGTCAGCATCAGCAATCTCTTCATCAGCATCATCATCACCATCAGCATCACCATCGGCATCATGATTGTCATCATCAATCGTCATCATCAATCATCATCATCATCATCATCATCATCATCATCATCATCATCATCAGCATTATCAACCACATCGTGGCCATCAGCATCATCATAATCGTCAGCAGCATCATCATCAACATCGTCGTCATCGGCATCGGCATCAGCAGCATCACCATCATCGTCCGCCTCCTCCTCCTGCTCCGCCCCCTCGCCCCCATCCGCCTTCTCCCCATTCTCCTCCTTCACGTTCTCCTCCTCCTCCGCATCCTCCTCCGCCTCCTCCTGCTCCTCCGCCTCCTCCTCCTCCTCCGCCTCCTCCTCCGCCGCCGCCTCCTCCTCCGCCTCCCCCTCCCCCTCCTCCTCTTCCTCCCCCTCCTCCGCCTCCTCCTCCACCTTCTCCTCATCCTACTCCGCCTCCCCCTCCTGTTCCTTCTCCTCCTCCTCCCCTCTCCCCCTCCTCCTCCTCCTCTCCTCCTACTACTCTCCCCTCCTCCTCTTCCTCCTCATCCTGCCCTCCTCCTCTTCCTTCTTCCTCCTCCTCCTCCTCTCCTCCTCTTCCTCCTCCTCCTCATAACTCCTCCTCCTCCTCCACCAATTCTTCCTCCGTCTCCGCCTCCTCGTTTTCCTCCTCCTCATCCTCCTCCTCCGCTTCCTCCTCCTCCTCCTCCTCACCTCCTACTCCTCTCCCCTCAACCTCCCTCTCCTCCCTCCTCCCCCCTTCCTCCTCCTCTCTCTTCCTCCTCCCTCCTCCTCTCCTCCTCCTCCTCCCTCCTCCTCCTGCTCTCCTCCTCCTCCTACTCCTCCTGCTCCTCCACTCATCCTTCTCTCCTCCTCCTCTCCTCCTCCTCCTTCCTCCTCCTCTCTCTCCTCCTTCTCCTCGTCCTGCTCTTCTCCTCCTCCTCCTCCTCCTCCTCCTCCTCCTCCTCTTCTTCCGTCTCCGCCTCCTCCTCCTCCTCTTGTTCCTCCTCCTCCTCCTTCTCCCCCTGATCACCAGCAGCAGCAGCATCATCATTAGCATCATCATTAGCATCATCATCAGCAGCAGCATTATCATCATCAGCATCAGCATCAGTATCAGCATCAGCATCATCATCAGCAGCATCATCATCAGCATCATCAGCATCATCATCATCATCAACAACATGATCGTCATCGGTATCATCCTCCTCCATCTCCTCCTCCTCCTCCTCCTCATCATCATCATCATCATCATCATCATCATCATCATCATTAACATCAACATGATCATCATCATCATCAGCATCATCATCATCATCAGCAGCAGCAGCATCATCAACACGATCAGCATCATCATCCTCATCCTCATCCTCCTGCTTTGATCCGTGGCGTTGGAATCCCGAGAACAATGTTTTAACATGGTTCACGGTCTTCAAACGGTTGTCGTCCAACGAGGCAGTTCCCTCTGTGGACATGAACCGTTGTAGGGGCCTATTGAGGGGGCTTGGAGGAAGGGTTTACCCGAGCATCGTTGATGACTCTTGGGTTTACACTGGTCCTCGTCCTCCTCCTCCTCCTTCTCCTCCTCGTCCTCCTCCTGCTCCTCCTCCTCCTCCTCTTTCTCCTCTTCCTCCTCCTCCTCCTCCCGACGGCGGCGGTGACGAGAACGACGACTGCGGCCTCAGTTCTTGGCTCTAGGGGTTTTCTCGCCTCGGAAGGCTCTCTGGCAGCTGCGCTTCGTCGAGAGTATTCCGGGATTGCCCAGGTCGCCCCGGACGGCCAAAAGGCCCGAACTGCAACGCCGAAGCCAGAAGTTCAACGCCTTGACTTCATCAAGACGAAGGCTTCCCTACGCTTCTGGCAGCGACGGCGACGACCACGACGACGACGCCGATGATATTTCTTGTTCATCCGCGGCGCCAGAGGTCTCGACCCCTTCCTCAGGGTTAGGTGTTCGTCCCAGGACCGTGTTGAATAGTCCTGGGCTCCAGGGGCCACAATCGAGGAAAAACACCAGGATTGAACAAAAACATATCTTCAGAGAGAGATCTGGGGGGCAGTACCTCTGGAGGACCCCTTCCCCACGGCAGGCTTCCCATCCCGAATCGGTCGGTGACGGCCCCAGGATCTCTCATCCCGAATCGACTCGACCCTTGACGGTCCGGGGACCTGCGATGGCCCCCAGAGGGCGGAAATTGCCAAGACCCTCCCGTCGTGAGTTCCTCAGAACGAGAGGGTCGTCGGAGATCTGGGACGCCGCGGCGGCGGCGGCGGCGGCAGCGGCGGCAGCGGACACGACGACGACGACGACGACGACGACGACGACGACGACGACGACGACGACGACGACGACGACCACGGCGACGACGGCGACGACGACGACGACGATGACGAGGCCGCACGGGGTCGCCTCGACATGCCCGGGCGGCCACCCCCTCGCGGGGGCTCGCTCCGGCCTCTTCGGGTCTCCGAGGGCGCCGGCGGGGTCGAAGAGCTGCCGGTGCTGCTCGAAGCGCGCGCGGACGACGTAGAGGTACTCCTCGGGCGAGGGCCCAGAAGATCGAGCTTCGAACTTTGAGGGTTGAGGCTCTTCTGCGCTTTCCGCGATTTGTAGGCCTCGTGGAGCGCCCTCGTCACGGCGGCTGGGCCCGCCTCGAACTTCTCACCGGAGCCTAGCCCACGACTGGTCCAGGGGTCGAACTGACACCCCGCGCTACCACAGCCAGACCCCCTCTCGTTATGAAAGAACGACGCAAAGCATTCGACGCTGAAAAAGGAAGATCACGACGGGAAATGTTGGGCCATTTTCGCACTCCGGGTCCCTCGCTGGGCCACGGAACTGTCAACCAAGCGACTCGGGCAGAGAAGCCCATGCAGGGGCAGTCGTCGAGACCTCCAGGGACGCCGCTCCTCCCCAGATCTGCAGCTGCATGACCGTTTCGATCCCGGCGCTTAGTCGGGCGCCTTGGGGAAGCACTTTGGCGGATGCCAGGAGAGGGCGAGGACCTGGGTGAACGACGAAGAACGACGGGCCTGGCGCACCCCCGACGAGACGACCGGACACGGCTGCGCGCAACGCGAAGGGCGAGGGCGCGCACGAGCGACCCTGCGCGGACACCCTGCGCGCGCATGCTCGCGCCGGCGGTCAGGATGGCGACCTTACGCCGCGGCTTCCGCGGGCCGCCAGCATGGCACGCCGTGTAGAGGAGAAGGCGCTCACGCGCGACATCACGCGGGAAGCTCATCGACCCCGTGTTGTTCCGTCGCGCAGGTGGTTCGAGGGTTGAGGATCCAGGAGGGCCAGGGATCGACGCTTTGGGGTGTTCCTGAGGCCTTCCTTGGGTCGCTTTCGCGGCCACGGCTGATCCGCTTCGAGATTCTTGCCAGAGCGCGCCCCTGTAGGGGCCTCTGGGTTCGACCTTGAGGGAGGGTCGCCCTGGGGCATCTATTGAGTTAAGATCAGCTCTCAGGACCCTGGTCGCGATGCATGACGCGTGCCAGACTCGCTGAGTCCAGAGTCACACCAGCCCAGTGGGCTCAGGTGGCTTAATGCTCCAACTCTTGCAGCCCCACTTCTTCTCCCTCGGGAGGGGGCCCTGCCCCCCCCTTTTGACGTGGTTCTGGAGCAGGGAGGGGACCGAGGTGGCAGAGAGTAAGGTTGGGCTCAAGATGGCTCCGAGGTGGCCTCAGTGCACCCCAAGCTGGCATCGAAGATGGTACCGCATACTGAAACTTGGGCGGAGATGGCGTGCAACATGTCTTCAACAGGCCATCAGGTGACGCCAGCAGAATAGGTCGAGCCCAACGTCCCAGCCTGGAATCCAGAAGCTGGAACACAGAGGAAAAGCATGACACGGATGATGGGTATGAGGATGAAGATGAAAATGATGGTAATAGTGATGGTGACGACGACGATGACAATAATAATAAGAATAACAATATGAATCGTAAAAATACTGCTAGTAAAAATAACCATGGTCCTAAACGGATATTCACCTAGTATCAATAGTGATATCGTTCCTGATACTTCTATGATCAATATCACTGACAAACGTAACAGTGATAGTGTTAGTAGTGGTAGCAGTAGTAGCCGTAGTAGTAGGGGTAGTAGTAGTTAGTAGTACGAACACTAGTAGTAGTACTAATAACACTAGTCGTAGTCGCAGTCATAGTAGCAGTAGCAGTAGAAGTACTGGTAGTAGTACTAGTGGACAAGGAGTGGTAGTAGCAGCAGCAGGAGTAGTAGCAGGAGTAGTAGTAGTAGTAGTAGTAGTAGTAGCAGTAGTAGTAGTAGTAGTAGTAGTAGTAGTGGTAGTAGTAGTAGTAGTAGTAGTAGTAGTAGTAGTAGTAGTAGTAGTAGTAGTAGTCGTAGTCGTAGTCGTAGTAGTCGTAGTAGTAGTAGTAGTAGTAGTAGTAGTAGTAGTAGTAGTAGTAGTAGTAGTAGTAGTAGTAGTAGTAGTAGTAGTAGTAGTAGTAGTAGTAGTAGTAGTAGTAGTAGTAGTAGTAGTAGTAGTAGTAGTAGTAGTAGTAGTAGTAGTAGTAGTAGTGGTAGTAGTAGTAGTAGTAGTAGTAATAGTAGTAGTAGTAGTAGTAGAAATAGTAATTGTACTATTCGTCGAGGTAGTAACACAAGTAGTATAGGATAGTAATAAAAAACAGCAGCAGCAGTCGTACTAATACTAATACTCGTGCTAGCAGTCGCAGGATAGCTTAATGCATAAAAGCAGTGTGGCTAGTGTGGATAAGATTCAGATTGGTGACATGCTTACTAACAGTAGTAGTAGTGGTAGTAGTACTGGTACTAGTCGTAGGTGTAGTAGGAGTAATAGTAGTAATAGTAGTAGTAGTCGTCGTCGTTTAGTCATTAGTAGTAGTAGTCGTCGTAGTAGTAGTAATAATAATGGTGCGAATGAGAAAAAAAACAATAATACTAATAATGATGATTATGGTGAGTCTGATGTTGATAATGGTAGTGATGTTCATGCTGATGGTGGTGATGATCATGACGATGATGCCGATGGTGGTTGTGATGGTGATGCCGATGTTGATGCCGATAACGATGGCGATGCCATGATGATGATGCTGGTGATGGTGATGTCGGTGCCGAAGGTGATGATGCTGATGATGACGGCGATAATTGTGATGATGGCAGTGATGATGATGATGATGATGATGATGATGATGATGATGATGATGATGATGATGGAGGTGATGATGTGGGGTGATGATGATACTGGCAATGATGATGATGATGATGATGATGATGATGACGATGATGATGATGGTGATGGCGGTGCAGACGATGAAACTGATGATGCTGACGATGACGATGAAGGTGATGGAGGGATGCTGATGATGGTCATGATGAAATGGTGATGGTGATGGTGATGCTGGTGGTGATGATGGTGGTGATGATGATGATGATGATGATGATGATGATGATGATCAGCATGACCATGGTGATGATGGTGGTGATGAGGAGGAGGAGGCTGAGGAGGCAGTGAAACAGACAACTCCAGCCCAGGATCCAGAACAGAGGCCAGCGCAAGCACGGAGGAATAATCCTGGAGCCCCGCCGGCGGCCGCGCGCAGTGGCACTAGGAGGAGGAGAAGGAGGAGGAGGAGGAGGATGAGGCGGTGGCGGGTGAGCAGGGGGGTGAGCAGTAGGAAACGGAGGAGGACGGAGGAGGAGGACGACGAGGACGAGCATCAGCAGCAGGAGCTGAAGTGGAGGGAGCGGGAGGAGCAGGAGGACCAGGGGAAGGCGGAGGAGGGGAAATGAGGGGGGTAACACTATGGAGACGGAATTGGAGCCAGAAACGCGGCCCGCGCTGCGGCGAGAGCGCCATTCTGAACGACGGGAGCAAAGCGCCGATCCGAAGACGAGGCCCACGCTGCAGCGAGAACACCACTTCTGAAGTTGCAAAAAGCGATGGTAGGGTAGAAGGCATCGAGAAACACAAAGGCAACAGAAACCTCAATGTTTGCAACCATGCCGTGTAAAAAATGATTGGGGGGCAGGATGTTCCACTGGCCTCTTCAGGGGAGAGAGAGAGAGAGAGAGAGAGAAGAATCGTACTCATGTGTCGCCGCGCCGCTTGTTCTCGACGCGCCCAAGGGGACGAGGCCGACACCGCGGCAGACCCACGGCAAACTGTAGGTCGGGCATGTCCTCCAACAGGCGGATTTGAGGAAAAACAAGAAGTATTCCGTATTCAAAGATCATCAAAAATAATAGAAACATCGTCCCCATACGATTTTAAAACTATGTCTGAATACTCCTCCTGTAGAGGGACGGACCATGCCCGAATTAAGGCAAACTCTGTGCGTCCGGGACGGCGCTTGCCCTGGTGGCCGCGGCGCCCTCCCCGAGGCGTGGGGCCGCGCGTCGGGGCAGACGGCGCGGCGACAGATGGTCCACTTGTGGAGGGGAGAGGGGCAGGGGGGGAAAGGGGGAGGAACGGAGGAGGCAGAGGTGGAGCTGAGGAGAAGGGAGACGAGGGGAGGGGAGGGGAGGGGAGGGGAGGGAGGGGAGGAGGGGAGGAGGGGAGGGAGGGGAGGAGGGCAGGGAGATGAGGAGGGGATAGAGGAGACGAGGGGAGAGAGGGGAGGAGGGGAGAGAGGGGATGAGGTGGAGCGGAGGAAGAGGGAGACGAGGGGAGGGTTGGGGGAGACGAGGGGAGGAGGGGAGGGAGGGGTTCATCTCATACTCCACTCGATCCCCCTCCTCCTCCTCCTCCTCCTCCTCCTCCTCCTCCTCCTCCTCCTCCTCCTCCTCCTACTCATCTAGCCGCCACTCCAATGCATTGCGCTCGTGCCCAGACCAGTTACCCGTCTGACCAGCGGTCCCCACGGCGGCGGGGTATACGGGGCCAACTCTGGCGCCGCCGGGCCGAGACAGAGGGGAGAGGAGAGGGAGGGAGTGGACGGCTGGGGGCGTGAGCGTGTGTATTCCGATTCGACTGCATACCCAACCACCCCCTTCTCCTCCTCCTCCTCCTCCTCCTCCTCCTCCTCCTCCTCCTCCTCCTCCTCCTCCTCCTCCTCCTCCTCCTCCTCCTCCTCCTACCCCCCCTCGTCCGCCTCCGCCTCCTCCTCCTCGTTTTCCTCCGCCTCCTCTTTCTCCTTCTCCTCCTCCATGCACGCCAGCTACGAAATCAAGCGCTGGTTGGGCTTCCCTGCCCGACGCAACAGGAGTCGACCTGCAACACGTGTGCGGTATGGTCCGCCAGAAGAGCGTAACAGCAAAGGTGTTTGTAGAAACAGGCAGGAAGAACACAGCGTCCAGTGGATGCAATGAACGGTTTGGGCCAGAAAACAGACGACACCACCCAACCTACGGCCCGACGGGGCTTAGCTCATGCGGGAACATCTGGCGTGGATGGTTTGCGCGGCATACGCTGCGGCCCCCGATGGGCCGTAATTAGCGCAACATGGAGGGCCGTAGGTGGGGTGGTGCCGTCTGCTTTTTGGTCGACGCTCGATCGTGACTCAAACGACGATCCTCCGACAGACCCCGCGTCTGCACGATGTGCTTCAGGCGCCCAGGCGTGGCCACGATCGGGCACAGCGGGTCGAGCAGGGAGTCGTAGTACGGGATGTGCTGCTCCCCCCTGTTGCTGGAGGACTTGTCCCAGTCGGGCTGCACGAGCGGGTGCCTCTTCTGCGGGAAGGGTGGCGAGGTTGGCCTGCTCCTGGCGGCGCGACAAAGAGGGGGGCAGGGCAGGGAGGGTGGCCCTCCCGGGAGACGACGGGGCATCTCCTGGGACGCCCTCCTGCCCCCAGAAGCCTTCCACCACAAGCCCCGACCCCTCCTCAGCTTCCCTGTCCCGATGCGCATCACGCAACACGCAGCGCGTTGACACGGCGCTCAACGCGTGGACTGGCAACGCAGGTCTGGCACGATGCGCTCGCCAGAGCGTGGACCAACGCGTGCCGAGCCAACACGCAGCGCATTAGCACGGACGTCTTGAGCACGGCACGCGCTGCGGCTCAGCACGGGCGCACCTGGGCAGCCGAGCTCCTCAGAAGCGGCGCCCCCGGCGGCTTCGAACGCCCGCACCCCTCGCTCCCTCCTCCCCCGGCCCCCGACACTCGAAGCCGCGCCACCCTGAGGTCCGACGCAGCGAAAAAAGTGCAACGTCGCAAAAGATCGCGCTCGGAGCCCTACAGACCCCATCTTTCTGCGCTGTTTGTCGAGCCGGGTCGACCTGTGAGGTCCTCGGGGCCCGAAAGTGAGCGACGACGCCGGTGGTGACAAACATCGCAACGCCAGGATCTCAGGGAAGCTCGGCCCCCTGACCCCCCCCCGGGGCCCGCCTTGGCCCGCTTGCCGAGCCGCGCCCTGCCGTGGCGCCGAGAGCCTCCCAGGCGAGGCGGCGGACGGCGCCGACGACGCCGCCGCCGACGGCCGCCGACGAAGCCCCAGCCGCGCCGGAGCGACGACGCCGCTACTCCCAGACCCCCGACGTCGTATTTTTTCACAGCGTCGACCCCCAGAGGTCTGTACCCCTTCCTCGGGACCGGTTTTTCATCCTGAGTCGAGTTGAGGTTTTTCGCTAGTTTCGGCCTCTGGGGGGGCCTCACCGGGCCTCGGGAGGCTAGCGGTTAACAAAAACGACTCAGGATGAAAAACCGGTCCCAGGGAAGGGGTCCAGACCTCTGGGGGTCGTCGCCGTTGCGGGCGAAATCACGACGTCGGGGGTCTGGGACATTGCGACAGCGTCTTAACCCACGACCCGAGCCCTGGACCTGAATATAATCTTTCTGCGACAGCTTTCGAGCCCGATCGTCTGGTGCTGCCGTCCTGTATATATGGGCCAGACACTGGGGGCGCAAACGCCCGCCGCGGCCAGATGGCAACGCCTGGGGTCCCATGGGGCGTTCCGCATCGACGCGGAGGCCTGGGCTCTTTTCGGCGGCGACGACAAGGGCGAATAGCCCAGGGGCGGGCATTACACGTATTCCCAAGGAAGCCTTTTTGAAGGCATAGATCATCGGCAACCCTGGATACATGGATTGCTCTCCCCATGGGCTATTCGCCCCTGTCGTCGCCTTTGATCTTTGTGCGCGCCGCAGGGTCCTCCCCGGCGAGGCGGCGCGGGCCGTCTGCTTCGCCCCCAGGGCGCTGGCGGCGGCGGCGGTCCCGGCGCCGAGCGCGCGGGCACTCGGCGCGGCGGCCGGCGCCGGCGAGGGCGGCGAGCGCGGCCGCGCGGCGGCCGCGGCGCCCAGCGGGCCGAGGCCGCGCATGAGCCCCACGGACTTCACCTGCAGCTCCGAGGTGCCCGGGCCCCCGTGCATGATGGACGCCGCGGCCGCCTGGCTGGCGCTCATGCCCACTGCGCTGGCCACGCTCGCGACGCTGCCGCGGCGCACGCTGCCGATGCTCTGCTGCGGGCCGAGGCTGCTCTGGGTCATCTGCGGCGGGCCGAGGCTGGCGACCGTGCCGATGCTGCCGTGGCGGCCCGCGAAAAACATCTGCGCCTGCGCGTCCTGCACGCCGTCCCTGGTCCGCATGACGAACAGGTCCATGTCCCCCAGCTGCGTCTGCTCCGCAGCGGGCTTCGGCTTCGGCTTCGGCTTCGGCTTCGGCTTCGGGCGAGCCACGGTCTTGGCCTGCGCGCGCACGGGCTCGGATCCCTGCATGCTCTGCTGAACGCTGGCCTGCAGGAGCTCCTGGCTGGCCTGCTGCGAGTCCTTCTGCCCCGCGCTGTGCACCCCGACGCTCCGCGGGGAGGCTGAGCCACCGGCCGACTTGGAGCCCGCCGACTCCACGGAGTTCTCCCGCAGCGGGTCGCCATCCTCTGCCCGCTGCGCAGCCTTGCCCTCCCTGTGCCCAGCCCTGGCGCGCGGCTGCTGCTGCGGCTGCGCCTGCTCCTGGTGGAGGGACCGGCTGCTGCTGCGCAGTTCCTGCTTCGGTGCCGGCTGCAGCCGCTGCTCGCCATCCGCGTGGGGAGGCCTGCTGCTCCTGTCGCGCTGCGACGGCGCCCCCGCCGGCTTCGGTGCCCGCTCCTGGCTGACGTGGGCGCTGCTTCCTTGACCATGGCCATGTCCGTGGCCCTGCCCCTGAGCCTGTCCGTAGCCCTGTCCGTAGCCCTGTCCGTGCCCGTAGCCAAAGCCCTGGCCGGCGCCCCGGAAGTCCTGGCCGCCGACAGAGCCCATCTGAGTCCCACCCAGCCCCACGCCACTGGCGTCGATGTTCAGCTCGGAGAAGAGCATGGACATGGCGTCCTCATCCATCACCAGTTCAGCATCGGCGCCCGCGTAGACGCCAGCCCAGCCGCCGAAGGGCTGCTGCATCAAGCCCTGGACTTCGCTGGCCCAGCGCTGCGTCGCAGCAGCGGCGCCGTCCCACTGATGGCCGTAGCTTTGCGGCTGGTGGTAGTAGCCCTCAGTGCCCGCGGGGCGAGACCTCGGCGCTGTTTGGAGCTGCTGTACGTTGCCATGGTGGCTGGCCTTTGAGCTGACCCTGCTCGCGTGGTCCCCAGATACCTGCCGCCCGAAGGAGCGCATCGACGGCGCCCTGGAGTCGCCGCCTGGCCAGCCACCCAGAGACAGCTCGGCCACGCCATCCTCGAACTCATCCCCGTCGTCTGGCTCGGCCAGCCCCTCGGAGCCCTCCCTGCCGCCCTCATCGGTCGCGTACTCCTCGGCCTCGGCGGGCGCCTCGTAGGAGACCAAAGAAGCACCGACACCGCTGCTCCCCGGCCCTCTCCCTTGGAGCGCTCTGACCCGAACCCGGGGGGGGGGGGGGGGGGGCGAACCCAGCCGTCGCCTCGAGGGCATTTCAGGAGGCCCAGACAGGCGGCGAAAGCGGAGCAGGGTGGCGGTGCACCACCACCCTTCTCCGCTTTCGCCGCCTCGGTGCGCCATCGTCGTCACAAAGTGTGCGTCGCCAAATCATATAGCAACGTCCGACGCTAAATGTAACGTCGCGACCTTAAGTTTAACGTCGGGAACCTGAATCAAGGTCGGACGCTATGTAAGGTCAGATGGATGTTCATGGTGTGGGTGAGCCTCGCTCGCGGCCGCCGCGGCACCCGCCCCTGCAGCGGGCCTCCGCGAGCCCCGGGAGCTGGCCGGCGCCTCGCGCGGGCGGCTGCGCG